CAGTCCTTTCTAAAGTCTGATTTTCTAGTTTTTCGGAAGCCATTTCTTGCATTTTTTTTTGAAATAGTTTTTTTTCTCCTCCCCTCCCCAGATCTGCCTCCGCAGCTACAAAGAACCGTGGTCAGTATTTTTATAGTGCTCGATCATTTCTTTATTTGTTTTCAACTTTTGTACATTGCCCTTCAAAACAGGAGCTTCCTAGAGAGGCTTACAACAACCTTAAGTACACAGAAGTTAAAAAAAAAAAAAAAAAGCTTAGCATGCATTTACCAACACACTAAAATGCATGACATTAAAACGATAAAAGCAATAGATTAAATAAAAGTTTCTAACCATTCTACCATGTCCTCATACTTGTTCACCTGGGTGCGATTCTCTCTCTTTCTCTCCTTTAGGAAGAGATCATAACTGGGCAATATTTAAACGGTAACTGGCATTAATTTTCTTTGTCTTTTTTGAACCTCGTTTAATCTAATTTTATTAACTTTTTAAATATTCCCTTTTTTTAGCTCTCCTCAATATCCTTAATTTCCAAAGGTAAACATTTGCTTTATGTTTTTCAATGTTTCAGCCGGGGAGCAGGGTTTGGAGACCCATCTCGTGGAAATAGGATCATGTAATTACTTTTTAAGTGCAAAAATTGGCGTTAAAATGAATGGAACTTTGGTCCTGAATAGCAACTTCTGCCAGCGTTTGAATTTGGGGGTGCAAGTCACAAGATGCACTCGCCTAGAAATGAACCAAGTGCGTTTTCACCTAATGTTGCGGGAATCCAGGCCTGTGGGAAATTTATATTCAGTTTGTTGCACAAACTGAGATCATTGGGCTCATGGAATAAACTATGGTTTGGATGCTATGCAAACATTGCCAGTATGTAAAAAGTGAATAGTTCCTAGTAATGTGAATAACTTTGCTACATTGCTACGAGCTTTACCTTTCTGTATCCTTCTTCAGGGTAAATGACTGATTTTCTTCTCCTTCTCCTTCGTTTTTTTAGCACCAATATTTGGACAAAAGATCTCTTTAACAAAATCATGGCCTACTGCCATGCCGAGAATGTTGCAGTTACTTATGCCAGCTTACAGGTTGTATAGATCTAACATTTTCATTCCAAAACGTTTTAAATTTCCTGCGTGGGCAGAACTAGAAAGGTGATATTCAGGAATAAACCCCCGTAAAACTAGCTGGCCAGAGATGGTGCTAGACTCGAAATAGCGGCTGCGTTCACACATTTACCCAAAGCAATCGTGTGATTTGATTCTTTCTGGTTTAGCTGTTCTGGCAAATGTTTCATCGGTGGCTTATGGATTTTGTAGTGGATGTTACCACCTCCTTCCCCCCCTGCTTTTTTAAAGTTCATTTCACTGCTACCCTCAGCTAGGTGGTAGCGTCTAGCCAGTCTTGGCTAAGCTTGAAAATGCAAAGGAGTATCAGACCTGGTTAATACTTGGATGGTGCACCACCAGGAAATCCGAGGACTGTCAGCTAGGTTGAAAATGGAAAAAACATCCCAACAGAACGCCATGCAAACAGTTTCTACCTTATGGCCAAGAGGACCATGAACTCACCAGAAGTCTATGAATTTCACTTCTAGGTGCTTCATCCCCTTCTCTGTTTTTACGGCCACGGACTTTATTTATTTATTTTTATTTATTATTAAATTTATATCTCCCCCTCTCCCCAGTGGGTGACTCTGGACGGCTTACAATTAAAATCCAAGAGAATAAAAACAATAAAAATATACGTACCCCCAATTAACAAGTAACAATTCTCTATACAAAGCCAGGTGATCCAGATGTTGTTGATCTGTTTTTTCCATTTGTGTAAGCTTCCTTAAAGATACTGAAAAGGCAAGTAAAGACATTTTTTTGGGGGGGGGGAAATGAAATCATAGAAAACTGTTCTCAAGGAGCAACTGAACTGCAGCAAAATGGCCAGCTTAGAGTGGGGATCTCTGCCAAGCGCGGGGAAGCTGCGTGAGTCCTACCAATGTGGCTGGATTACCTATCCCATCCTCACTTGGCCAGTGAGGTCTGATGGGAGTCAGAGCCCCCCTGATCTTAGCTCTTGTCTCTTATACCAGTGTTCCTCAACCCTGGCAAGTTTAAGACCTGTGGACTTCAACTCCCAGAATTCCCCAGCCAGCCTTGCTGGCTGGGGA